TCTATCTATCTATTTATCTATCTCTATCTATCTATCTATCTATCTATCTATCTATCTCTCTATCTATCTATCTATCTATCTATCTCTCGTGTCGTGAAGCATTTACCGTCGTGCACGTTGACATGGGCGAGCGTTTTCAGGAGGATCACATTGTCGTAGTTTTAAACCTCGAATGATTGTATATGGCCATCGTTCCCGCATTTGCCGTTTGGAACTCATCTGGCAATATCCGTCGGAAAACGTGGAACCCGCACAGCCGAGAAAAAGCAACATATCCCTTCTGTTTTTCGTCTTGGGACATGGGAGCCTCTATTCTAGCAAGTTTGACCAACACTTTTTCATGACCCGGGGACCAATTCATTGTAACGATTCTGCTTTGGTTCGAGATTTGCACGTCCAATAAGCAGATTCATGCACTGTTGAAGGTGCTCCTCCATCCCAGCAAAAGTAACAGTCTCCTCCAAAAACGCTGGGGGTTCCGGCCACCGACTCCTAATCTCGGCGACTGTCAGCTCCTCGTCGTGGGAAGGATCTGTATTTGTCCCATTTCCAAACACGACTGCGTCGGCGCGCACGCCAGCCATGCGTCGTCGTCGGTGCATGTATGGGAATGGGTGAATATTGTTATGTCGCTTATATGTGAGTTTGTAGAAATCTACAAAACACAACATCACAGGCACCGATGACCGTAGTACTGTACCTCCACATAACGAAAACGAAAAGAAATTTCACAACGCAAAGCAGGCAAATAAAAAAAAAACTCAAAACATATAACAAACACATGGGAGATGACGCTTGCATATGTATACACAAAATGTGCAGTATTTCAAACCATCATTTTGTCTCTCTCCAACTACGAAGAAACATAGGGAAAAAAAAAAACGAACGGTACTCATCGGTGGATTGCACTGCAAGGATAAAACATGGCAGAAAAATCCTCGCCATCGGAGACAAAATAGGGCGGTGACACGACCAGCCGCTAGACGCCATCCCGAGCGACCATCCCGTAGTGTGTGTATAGTATGCGATGTACAAGGGGAAAAACGATATCATACATTAAATTACCGTCGACCGGTTTGAGAACAAAGGTGCTGAAGTACGTGGTCGGCTTAGACATTAGGACACGAATGTGTTCGATGGCGTGGCCACGAATATAAGTCTCTGTAGTGAGTCTGACGACTCGTTCCTCCTTGACGCTCACAACGAAATGACGATCCACCTTCTTGTCTCCATTGCGGTATCCCACTGCATCGCCGACGGATCTGTTACAGGAGTCATTGATTCGTAATAGCATACGGTGTCGCCGCCTGTCAGTTTTGTGGTGTGGTAACATCGGACAATCATTGGCGCGCAATGCATCGTCGCTTCTTTCGTATGACGTTCAAAAAGTGCTGCAATTAACATGAAACCGACACCGTAAGTTATGATCCTAACGATCGAGCAACGAATCACGCAAACATGATGTTCTGCATGTACCGCACGGGGAGGTGGAACACACTTCATACATATATATGAGATGAGCGGGTAGTCGCGGTCTCGAACACTGTCGAATGTTAAAAACCTTTATGATTTTGTGAGTCAACCTACCTGTTTGGGACTAAGCATGAGACGACCAGGATGATGGTTCGTTGACACTTTGGTACTGTTGTTGGCAACCATCCATTGGCAACACAGTGCGCACATCTTCGTGGAGAAAAGTACGGCATTGCAGCGGTCTGTCGAGTTTGGAAAAATACCATGCGTTGGGTGCTAACCTTTCCACATGCTCGACCGCAACGACTGACACAATGCACCTTAGCAAATGACCAATCATATCGAAGTCGGGGGGTTCGCAGGCGTCGGGAACGACATCCGAAAGTTTTTTGCATGCATTACAACCTCATCAAGGCGATCATGGTCGTCGTACCCCAACCCCGCCACGACCCTCAAAGCGAGGGTGTCATCGATGAACGCGTAGTACACACGTGTTTTCGTGGCAACAACCCCTTCCTAGTGTTCAAAGTCTCTTTCGTTTTCAGTATCGCGCTCACACACTGTCTCTCTCACGACGATATCCTTTCCAGCCACAGCCTCTTTCACAACAACAACTACGTCGGTCATGTTGTGTCGCAAGGTCGAATAAATGAACCTGGCAATTATGAACTGTCACAATGGCTGGCCGACGACACTGCGAAAGCTGAAGGCAACACAATGCGTACGATAAGCGAAGGACACAATAAGTCGATTGACGTGGCTGCAAAAAAAAATAAAAAATTATAATAATTACGAACAGTAGTACGTTGGTTGGTTAGTTGGGTGGGTGGTTGGTTGAGCGGTTGGGTTAGGTGGTTGGTTGGGTGGTTGAGCGGATGGATGGGTGGTCGTGTGGCTGGTTGCTTGGTTGGTTGGGTGGTTACGTGGGCGGTTTTGTGGTTT